TTGACGTTGAAAATCGATATAATATAAGTTATTAGCTGCTTCCGTCATTTGACGAACCAAATGAAGTTTTTCATTACTATTTAGACATTGAATGATTTTATCACCATCTTCAACTGCATTCGATAACATTTGTTTTAAAATTTTATCAGAAACTCTTAGATAACGTGGTTTAAATCGTTGTACATAATTGGTTGATATTAAATCATTATTATCTTCTTGCTTGTTGTTTTCTTGTTGTTGTTGATCGTTAATATCGCCATTAACTAAATTTAATACTTCATTATCTGACTGTTGATTTTCTATCGTCGACTTAGTCTTTTTAGGATTGATTTGTGATATTGATAATTCACTGAACGATTGACTGATATGTATGTCATCTTTATTTGCTTCTTGACGTTTACGTTTATTTTCTAATCCTAGTCTATGTTGACTGTTTTTTGTGTCTTTCTAAATAGAATAGAAAATTACACGTAGAAAAAGAATCCTTTGTATTTTCAGAAACAATTATTATACTTGAATCTGTTGTTCTTGTCCATCTTGTTCCAGGTTGTCATCAGTATCATCTATAACAATTAAGATATCTTGTTGTATATGATTTGCAGGATTATTATTTTGTTTCATTTGTTGACGACGTAATCTTCGTCGTTGATGCTGTTGTTTTCGATTACCATGGCATTTTTTCTTCTTTTGTTGCTTCTTATTGTTCTCCAAGTTTTGCTGTGGTCCAGTCAATACTTGTGTTGGTGATAGTAATTCATACGAACGACCTTGAGCATCTTGTGATAAGCCATTGTGACGAACAATAGTGCTAGTATCGTTGCTCAGAGACATTCAGTTATAATGTAGACAAAAATAATGGATTTAGATCTAGAAAGGAAAAAGGAAACAATGTTAAAGTTCCGATTCTTTCAAATGTGATAATAATTTCACATGAAATTATATAAAATAAGTAAACAAAAGCAAGACATGACAAATTTATCTCAATACGAAATATTCGTTCAATTATATATCATTGAAGTTCAACGATCATCTGATAATTTTGAATATGACTCGTTGACTTCAACTCCTGATAATGCGAATGATGGAACAAATGTGTGAATACATAATAAAATTTATTCACTTTAAAATGTTTTACTGTTTTGATTAGTTATCGTACAATTGGTGAATATAACAGGAAACAATATATTTAAAATCTTTCTCTTCTGGCAACGATATAGCAATTTATCTACAAATAACACAGATGAATACAGAAACCTATGAATACAATGAATATATATGTACAAAAACAACTATATAATATATGAAATTAGTAAATGAAAGAAAACAAAAACAAAAAGACAGAAACATAGAAAAACAACCATGATGATATTGATCTCTGCATGATAGAGTAAGTTTAACATCCTATGGTCACTCTGATGCTTGTGGCCATGGTAAATCAATAATGATTAAAGTGTTCATTGGATTGTAATCATCTAAATAATCTAAAACAGCATAATTTTCTTCTTCTTCTTCTTCTTGTTCAACAATAGTCGATAAAGCTTGGTTTGTTTGTATTTGTGATGCTATTTCTTGTTCTTCTCGATGTTCTTGTACTTCACGATGAAAATTTGTTTTGGCATTCTGATTGGAGTCAAGCACTTCTTCTTCAACCTAAGATTCGATGATACAAAGGAGAAAATATACCATCAAGTTTCTTTTCTTTCTGTCCTATAATCCGTTACCTTACATCGTGAAACCTTAACATAACATTTCATACAATCAAATAAATTAACTCGCACATCTGTCGTTCGAATCCGTTGAATTAATTTTCTATACTCGTTGTCACTTGACTGATGTGATGTATTCGTAGTATTCGTAGATAATGGAGGTGGTTGCTATAAAAAAGAGAGAATACACTTATTTTAGTCCAAAGATTTCATCCTTGTTTACTTGAATAGGTAATGGATGATCTTGATTGAGACTTTGCAATGGTAACGGAAAGCCATCTAAAAAGAATAAGAAATTCAACTTCATTAAAAGCTCAATATTAAGTATTCTATACCATCGGAAGCCTTTTTTCGTTCAGACCATATAGACATTGTCTTGGAGGAAGATAACTGTTTGGTAGATCATATCTACAACAAATATAAGCCTTATTCAATTAAATTATACAAGAAATAATTTTTATGAAGCTCTTTAAATTAAAGAGTTACATATATCTTTAATTTATATTTATTTTCAATAATATGTTTCATAAAAGAAAGTGATAAAAGACAACAAAATAACAGAAGTGTATATAAACAACTAGGAAGACGACAATGAAGTTTTATTTGTTTTTCCATCTAAACAAGATTTGAAAATAAATGTTAATAAGACAATATCAGTTACTAATTCGACTTACTCATATATTTATCCGATCAAGTTTTAACATTGATACTAATTTAGTGACTGCAAAACAATCATTAACAGCATATTCAATCATCTCTTCAACGATTCTGTTAACTTTGAGGTTCACCACAAAAGATCGATTATTATTTGTCATATCAAGATTTCGAATCCATCTACTTTTTGTTCGACTTTTATCCAGAAATTCATGAAATGCATAAGCTATAGCCATTTGAAGTGACCATTTATGATTGAAGTTTGTAGTTGATTTACGTGAATATGTATATAATCTATTAACAGTGTCCAATGACACCGAAATACATTGACGTTTAGGTTTTCTGTCGTGCCAATTTTTAAAGATTTTTTGAATATTCATATTATTTATTTCTAGGAGTGTTTCAGATGACAGAAGTCGAGAAGGAATAAATTTGCTTAATTCATCCTTTGCATCACCCCACGAATATATAACATTCAATGAATGTAAGATCACTTTTAAGAGTGATCTTATCAACCAAAATACTATGGATGATGGATGTGGTAGATGATTTATTTCAATTAATAATATTATTGATTTGTCTTGTATAAATTCGATTTGAATTAATGCTGGTTGATGTGTGTAATAATCATCTTCTGTGTCAATAGTAAATCTAGTTGTTTTTCTTGCTTGTTTAATTAAATCATGTAATAGAATTGGAGATGTTGACTGATTGATATGATGGATATGATAATCATTTAGTGGATTAAATACCTGTAAAATACTTAAAGCACTATTCAATTCGTACTTTCGAGTATTTTGATTCATTTGTTGACTAGAAGGCATGATTCTTTTATTTTCTAAATAAACAGAGACAGAGATTAATAAATATTTTTCATAAATAGTTTACTTTTTTCTACCAAAAAAGAAATTTAATTTTATATTGTAATAGACGATTGAAGTTTGCTAATAAAGAGTCCGAATAGATTTTATCTACATAATGCAAACAAAAATGAACCATGAGAAGTTGCTTTTATGATATATATATATACATGTATGAAACAACAACGAAACAGAAACGATACGAGTTCAATATATAATATCATTTATTTATAGAAAAAAAATATAAATCAAAAAGAGGCTACATAGTATGTTTCACAAAACAATTATTTTCTAGTTTATAACGAACAAAAATATCATGTCACAATAACGATGATTGTGTATAGAACAATATATATGGAACACAATATCAAAAAAACAAAATTTGGTGCTGTTCAATAAAGTATCACTTAGTGACAAGTAGTATTAACATCATTGTTGAATTGTAGAAGACCGATCCGTTTTTGTGCAGCTAACAAAGTATTTAATGAATGAAAATGTTTGCTTGTTAGAACAATCTTAGATCCTTGCTCTGATAATATTGGATGTTGCTTAAAATATTCAGACCAAAGACGACGAAAGTCTCGATTGAATCGACATTTTGGACCAAAGTCATAAATATAACTGAACTGCATCAAACGATCATTATCGTCAAATTTTTGTAATTGTTCTGAAAGTTCCTGTTGTTGTGCAGTGAAATTGAACCATTGACGACGAAACTTATCATACGTGCTTTGAT